TTGATGAAGAACATGCTAAAAAACTTTGATCGAAAAATTCCACCGGGAAGGCCCTCAAAACGTGGAGGCCGCACGGAGGCTCCGGTAAGGTATACCTTACCGGAAGAGTTCCCTATATATATATATATATATATATATATATACATATATATATATATATATATACATATATATATACATATATATATATATATATATATATACATATATATATAGGTTTAGGTTCAAATAAGAATATCATCTAGGGAGAGAAATGAGAAAGAATCACAACCCTTGGATCATCTTTTATTATTATTTTCGACCAAGGCTAATTGAGTAACTTTCATTTCTCTTTTAATGCGTGCACATTAATTGGCTTATCCATTTAATTACGTAGGTATAATTTTCCTTCCTTTCAGGATTCTTACCTTTTAACTTCTATACGTAGCTTATTGTCCATCGATCTTAAATCATGCATATAATTTTCTCTAATTAGATTAAAGCTTAAATATTACAATTATATTTAATAATCATATCCAGCTTGGTTTTTGTTTTTCTTTCTCTATTCGGACTTATTATTTTCAATCAAACTATGCACTTTTAATATATCAATTTTGCATAATGTCACATATGATTATGATGAATATTAATAATATAAAAAAACAATAACTTTACACAACACTTGTGTACGGTTACTCACACTTTATTAAAATGAAAAAAAAAATCATCAATATGTCTAGTTTATTTGATCAGAATGTTTTCAAAGTATTATGGTGCAAAAATTTATTTTTTATAGTGCAACTTCATGTTTTACATGGTACACAAGCGAATTACATAAATAATGTTCGAATGTACACAAATGCACGAAAAAGGTGCAAAGCAGTTCAATGGAAAGTTCATTTAAAAAAAGTGCAAGATATTCTAATAACAAGTGCATGAGAGATCCCAATTGAAAATTCGGTACAGTTTTATTTTTAATAAATTATTAAAAACCAAATAAATCCACTCTTTATAGGTTAAGTTGCACATATAATTTTTTATAATGCAACATTTTGTTCTACACACTGCACAAGCGAATTACATAAATAATATTCAAAAGTGCACAAATGCACGAGAAAGGTGCAAAGCAGTTCAATAAAAAGTGTCATTCAAAAAACGGCAAGATATTTAATAAAAAGTACATGAGAGATTCTAGTTGAAAATTTGGTACATTTAAACGTTCTGCATTTTTAATAAATTATCAAAAATCAAATAAATCCACTCTTTATAAAACGTGGAAAAAATAATTTTTAGTGCTGATTTTTTAATTTCAAATAGCACTTTTTATGCAATAAAGTTGCACCCTTCTCACACATTTTTGAATGTCATATTTGTACATTAAAAAATGAGCTTTTTTAATCTCTAACAAGCTTTTAACGAAAATTGCTTTAACTTTCGGACTTTTTGAGATTTGTTGCATTTAATGAGTTCAATAATATGGAAAGTATACATTTTTAAACAGCCGTATATGAGATTTGCTTTTACTCTAATACCCTTACGTGTCTTTACATTTCAATTCAAATGAGTTGAATGTATTGCTTTCCTTTCCTATCCCAAATTAATGGATAACCGTGCATTGATTTTAGTCCATCCGATTGAGATTATTCAAGACTAGATTTCATTCTTATTTCTCTCCTAAGGCTCCTTTCTCACCTAAACCGTTCCCTATATATATATATACATATATATATATATATATATATATATATATATATATATATATATATATATATATATATATATATATATATATATATATTGGTTCAGGTGAGAAATGCATCTAATGTGAGAAATGAGAATGAATCTCAGCCATTGGATTTATGAAGTTGCACTAAAATTGACTTTATGTTGCAGTAATATATAAATTTTGCACATGTTGCACTAAAACTGTTTCATGTTGCACCAATATTTGACGGCGTTGCACCGAAATAGCTTCGTGTTGCACTAGACACGTGTAATACGGATTTTTCAGAAGTATTTACAGAAATGCCACCGTGCTAGATTGCATATTTCAGTGCATCATGAGTGTCTTTTACTGCAACTTAGTCGAATCCAATGGCTGAGATTCATTCTCATTTCTCACCCAAAGGGTTCTTCTCACTTGAACCTTACCCTATATATATTTTGGTATAATAATAACAACAAGGTAAGAAACACGAAATTCAAGAGAGGGAAATACTATTATCCACAAAAAAATTGAAGAAATGTGATAAAAATGAAATTGATCACTAATACGGAGTATGTTAAACAAAAGCAACAAGACTAACGAAAAAAATTGGTTAAGTAACCGATCATATCACTTAGCTGTCATAGCTGTTGCAATGAATGAGTGTTTCAACTATTTAAATTATTTGAACAGTTTTAATATTCATTCATTGCAATAGCTATGATCGCTTAATAATTAATCGATTAATCCATTTTACCACTCCAATTCAATGTTAGTATCTGACTATAGGGGAGTTATAAAATATGTTAAAAGTTTCTATGTCTTCAGTGTGGGAAAATTTAAGGGAGCGATTTTACTTGTGGAGAACCTCAATTCAAACTAAATGATATTCGTATATTATTCACAAAAAGTACTAGAAGAAAGTGATATAATTGGAGTTTACCACAAAAGTAAACAATCAAATCACCCATTTGATGGTACAACTTCCTAATTGGTAAAGTAAAAAGAGTAGAAATTATTTCAAACTTTCATTAATATGTACGGAATATTTCTTCAGTTGGTTGCAACATTGATGAACTTTATACTATGTTCTACTTTGACATCATTTTATTTATTATAATATTATAAAAGGAAAATTGTCAAATAGGTCCTCATAATATATAAAAAGTCAATTAAGCCCCCCAAACTAAAATTACATTCAATTGAGCCCCTAAACCTTAAAAAAATTGTCAATTATGTAATTTACAAGGCGGCCCATGTGTCAATTTTTACCTTATCTTTTTGTTTTTTTAATTTATTTTCGGGAAAACTGTCAAATATGTCTTCGTACTTTAATGAAATCGTCAATTGAGTCCTCGTACTATTAATTTGATTGTTTGCATCTCTACCCACGGCAGTCAGTATCTCTCCCTTCAAACGACCTTTCAAAAAACAACCATCTAACCCAATTACTTTTCTACACCCGTCAAGAAAACCGGCCTCTTTTGACTGGCCCGAAACAAATGTACATCCTTTGGAATACAGCAGGAGCTTCAGGGAAAGTTCTTACTGTTTTAATAATCAATGTAGTCCCAGGAATAGATTGTAGGCATTCCTCAGCATAATTTCTAAGATTTTTGAATTGATCTTTAAAGGCAACTTGTGTTTTTTCATGAATAATCCTTAATGCCCGGGTGACCATACTCATAGACACATTAATCTTCAATTCTGCTTTGATAATATTTTTCAGTTCAGCAGCACCAATGGAAGGTTTCTCTTCCACTTTTTCCTCAAATCTCTCAGCTATCCAACTTTGACTCACCACTCTAAGTGTAAACTTAGAATTGCACCTATGTTCTTCATTCAACACCTTCACTTGGAAACACTTCAACCTATTCTCCCAACTGGCAGTACAAGAATAAGGGCAAGTAGGTGCACACTTAACTCTAACTCTCGTCAAGTCATTCTTGACAAAATACACATCTTTTTTCTCATGAATAGCATATCTAATAATAGCATTCTTGAATTGTCGAGCATCTTCAAAAAGCATTCGAAATTCAATCAAAGGAGGTTCAGATTCAGGATTATAGGAGGACAGCCCATTGTTTCTCCTTTTAGATTGACCATCATCTGATAGGTGCTCCGAAGTGTAACTAGGTGGATTTGAAGAGTCGTACTCCACACTATCAGCTTCTTCACTCTCACTCGGGGTAGCAATATCATCTTTGTCTACTGTTATTTCTTCCACATAAGAGCCACTGTAATCTGCGGCTAAGTCTGCATCAATAAGGTCGCCATCATCATTACCTCCCTCAAACATAACTTCAACACCGGCTGCTGCATTGGACTCATTATTTTGACCTCCAAAGTAACTTTCTTGCTCCTGAAGTGATACATTTGGTGAAAGAAGAGGGAGAAAGTCAACCAATTCATATTCATCCAAATCATTCTCAACAAATATATCACATTCCCCACAACTTCTAGCCAAATCTATCAACTCCAATGTTGATTCATCACTGAAGAGCTCATGTAAATTGTCCATAGTGTCACTTGATCTTTTAAAATACAGCCTTTTAATGTTGCCATAACTTCCAGATCTTAGAAACTTCACCAAATGTTGATAACATATGCAATCTGGATCAATTTCAACACTTTCCGTTTCACCGCCCACATACATACTCTTCAGAGCACTAACAAAATTCCCTCCATGGTGAATAATTAGGTGTACAGTCTCAACCATCCTGTTAATAATATATTCGTATGTATTAAGAAGCAACAAATTGTAAAGTTTCCCACAATATTAGGGTTAACTACACTCAACAAAAAGACCACAATTTTTTAGAACTTACTTGGTGCAGCAGGATTGTTGAGCGGTTTTCCGTAATAGCAAGACTTTCTCCTTCGCCAGAGTATGAATGATTCTAATTGATTGGGTGTTGGGCATTCGCAGCTTCAAGCAAAGTCTCCATTGTTGAGGAGTCTTCTACGATAAACGGTAGGGAGGATAGAGGGAAACCCGGCTCTTGACTCTTAGTGGCATGTCATTAACGATTTAACAAATAGGCGATTAATTAAAGCCACACAAGCAGCCGCATCAGCCAAAAACGGGAGAGCCGGTTACTCGGTGGCTAATAGGCAATATTGACTCGTTTTTAAAAGGAGGAGGATTTGATTGGTTAAATTAATAGTACGAGGACTCAATTGACGATTTTATTAAAGTACGATGACCTATTTGACAGTTTTCCCTTTGAAGAATTACATCTTCCTAAATAGACATACTCATACGTACGTACACCCATAGAGTTGTGTCTTTTCATAGTTCCAAAAGGTTGAATCGCCAACCCCAAGCGCCCCCCACGCCCCGACCCGACAAACCCCAAAAGTTTTCAGAGTTGTGTCTTTTCAGGTGAGGCGGTGAAGCAATCAATAAAAAAAGCAATCGATCAGTTTCCATTCGTCGTAACAATCCATCAACTTTGACAAGAAAGCTCGAAACCATTCGATATCTAAAGAATACGGAGGCGGCAAATTTTTGGGCTTTACGAATCTGAAAAACATCGAGTCATGGCAAAGAGGTTGTTAAGCGACGAAGGCCACGAATTTCAGGTTTATAATTACTTTCTTTGAGATCGGTTCTTCAAAAATAAACAATAGAAAGTTAAATCTTTGTTGTTGTTTGTTTGTGTTTGCATTAAATTGAAACAACAACGAAGCTTTCTAATTAAAAAAAAACCTACAGTAGAACCAGTGGTTTAGAATATGGTTTATTGCTTGCTTCTCTAAACATTTTTTGGTCAGGGTGAGAGAAGGTGTCCGCCTAATTTAAGGACAAGCTGTCAAGCTGTTAATCCTGGAGCAGGTGAAGGCATGAGTGCTGCTGCTGATCTAGGTAATCAATTATAAATAGATAAATAGTATTAGTGGGTTATTTAGTACAAAATAAATAAATTTTAATCTTGTTGTGTGTGGTTGTTACTTTGAACTATCAGTGGGCACCAACTGGTTCTGGTTGAAGGAGGGTGTTAATGAAGAGATATTGTTGGAGATACTAGCTAGGCTACCAAATAGTCTAAATGTGGTTCAAGCAGGGCTGGTTTGTCACCTTTGGCATTCCCTTATCTTCCAGCAGCACTTTATTCCCAGGTTCATAGGCCTGCGGGAGCAAAAGAAGATAGAGCAGCCGTATTCCATCATATTCCGCATAGTAGATAGTATTGAGTTTGAGTATGATGATGGAGATGACTCGGATGAGTATTATCAGCCCATCTGCAAACTATTTTCGGAAGAGGATTTTGCTGGGGACAGTTGGAGGTTTAGAATGCCAATTTATTGTTCAAAATCAAGACAATGGAGTGATGATACAATGGAGTGATAATTCATGGCATCGATATCCTATTCCTGCTACCAGTAGGACCCCTAAGCCTAAGCTTTTCATTAACCCAATTACTTGTAATGGAACTATTTATTGGTTAAATTGCGATGATGTTCCTGACTGCATCATTGCCTGTGATTTGGTGAACGAGCCATACTCTAGTGCCTCTATCAACCTTCCTGAAGGCTCTATGCCTGGTGGTAGGGGTGTTGTCTCACTAGAGTTGGGCGCTGTCCCGGGGGAACTAAGATTATTCAACGTATTCCGCCTGTCGTCAGGTTACCGGCCAGCAGCAGTCTCGACATCTCGTTGTTGTTAAAGTTTGGGAGTTGAATCACAGAACTAATTCTTGGACCCTCGTTCATGACACACGCTTCAATGATAGGCCGCTGCCGTCTAATGGCATCCAATTAGAAGAAGAAAACACGTTCAAAATCCGTACGCTTGCTTTCCATCCAAACGACACAAATGTGGTCTTCTTGCCTCTTGGTGTGTGGCCGTGGTCAGGGGCGAACCCAGGAAATTCATGTTGGGGGTTCAAAATATTTTTTGGAGGGCGAAAATTATTTTTTGAGGGGCAAAAATTATATTTCTTATATATATACACTAAAAATAAATTTTGTTGGAGGGGCGGTAACCCCTGGGTCTGTACTATGGTCCGCCCCTGACCGTGGTGTTTTCCAGTATCACATCTCACAGGGTGTGTATGAGAAAGTCGATGAGCTCCCCACTTTTGTGCCACCAAACGATCCTCTTACGTCCTTCACTCTATTTGGCCCACCACCATGTTGCTCCCTCCGGAAGAATAATGATAATAGTAATTGTTATTAGTGTATTGACTCTCTCTTACTGTGTGCACACAGATTTATCTTATTGTGAAAGAGACAATATTATTGGTTTGGGAGTGTAATCTTGACCCCTACCTTTTTTATTGTGCCCCTCCTGCCACTTTTTTTCTTGTCCTCACTCTTATTTATTTGCTTTAGTTGTAACTAATGTTGAAAATATCTCTCAGTAGTAGATTTAACATTATGTATTAAACGTTATGGTTGTAAACGCCAACCTTTTGACCCCACGAGTAATTGGATAAAGCATTCATTTCTTATACGGAGTATTTAACTGTGCATTGTGGTCTAGTGAAAATTTATTTTTAGTTTGAACTGTTCAGTCCATTTTTATTCTAACTAATACGGAGTAGTCTAATACTATAGGTATACTATAATCGAGGGTGTATGTAGTTCTTTGCTCTGTTGCTTTTGTGAGAATTGCTTTCAAATGGTCCTTGAGCGTAGTCCCAAGCTTATCTCTTGTTTTTGTCCAAAGTTAAGTGGAGTTCATCTTTTATTCTTTTGGATCCTACATCAAGAGTTGTCTATTTTATGTGATGACCTAAATATTATGTACAAACTTGTCTCAGAGGTGAATTACTAACGTTGGATACATAAACGGACTCATGCCATGGTCCGTGCGCACGAAAGGCCCCGTTTACATTTCGATCTTCAACCACTTGATGCTCATCAGGGTGGCGATTGTTAGTTCTTTATTCTTGGATGAGAGGTTGCACTCTGGAATCAGGGCGGACCCAGAAAAACAAAGCCACATGATCCCTACTATAACGTTTTTTTAATTAATTAATATAAAATCAATTAAACAAAGTAAAATTATAAAGAAGCATAAAACGTTTCATAATTCGTACATCATCAAAACTTTAATATAATGTAAAGCAAAAATTAAATAAAAAAAAGGAAATCATGATCGCGAGGTTGAAACTGCCATTTTTGAAGAAGAATGTTAATTTAATTTAATTACACGTTAGTAAACATTATAAAAAGTTAATAATTTAAAAATTCACACAAATATGAATTTAATAACATTTTATATACAATAATTTGTTACACATACTTTGTATTAGTATAAAATTGTGGTTAAAGAAATGTATGTAAATAGTATAAAAATCATAATGTTACACATTATTGATTCACTTAACTCAACAATCAGACATGGAAGCGAGTAGCGACATATCTTACCCATGGGCATGGTTTGAAATAATGTTTTAAGGAAGATATAAGAGCTTAAAAGTGCCCTACGACTATCTAATGTCAAAGTAGGCTTGCAAAATGACAACCCAAGTTATATTGGGGTACAAACCAAACAATTACACGTAGAAACAATCGCAATATAAGTAAACTAAAAGCTAACCATTCAAAAACGAAACTGAAAAAGTTGTTTTCATTTTTTGACTGGCGATTTCAAAATTAAAATATTAGTATAAGTAATTATTATATTATATTCCGTACTACACTACATAACATCACTCCTTTTATATACGTAGGATAAAAAAGGTGAATGAAAGTTAGTTTGGTTCGACGTACTGCTAACTCCAGCCGTTTCTTTTCACTCTCATTTTCCTCCATGTCCTTCTCACATTTTAAAAACATATAAGGGATCGAGGGCATGAGAAGATAGTTCAAGCTAAGGCAACAATGTTCAATCAAAGTTTAAAAGTGCAACAGATGACTCTTAAAGTGCATCACATTATTCACATTGGGAAAAAAATTAATAGTTTTTTATTTTTTACGTTAAGCGTGGTTTTTATTTGATCCGAAACATTGTCTTTAGACAAAATTGAGAATGAGAATGAATCTTAACCGTTAGATTCAACTATTTTGCAGCAAAAACAATTTATATGACACTTTATATTATAATCTGTATTACAGTTGTCTAGTGCAACATGAAACTATTTTAGTGCAACATCGTCAAATAGTAGTGCAACATGTAATAACTTTAGTGCAACATTGTAAAATTTAAATCTTACTACAACATGAAGTTATTTTTAGTATAATATCGTAAATCTAATGATTGAGATTCATTCTCATTTCTCACTTGAAAATATGACATGTCTTTAACATTTCATGATCTCATATCTTCTATTATACAAAAGGAGGAGAAAAAAGGAACAGTGTTCCCGCCCAAAATGTTGTTTAGAAAACGGGTCGGGTCGGGTTTTAACAGGTCGGGTGGGTTTTAACAAAAGGCTAGCAGCTGGATCTTCAGAGTGACATTGAATGCAGGAACGGGGCTCCATAAAGTGCTGCAGTCCATAAGTTCAGCTTTTGACTTTTCAAACTTGGTGGCTCAAAATTGTGTGGCTCAATGCTGTCCAAAAGAGCCGTCCTTTTAATTCAGCATACAGTTGGCGTGCAAACTGCAGAGGATTAAATTAAATATTTAGTTTACAGTAGTCCCCTATTGTTTTCTATTCAGATGTCATGTCATCATAAATGGGAGAAAACATACTATTAACCATTGGGTAATTTGTGAAAGATGATAATGGCTCTTTAAAGATTTAAGTATAAATACAGCCCTATGATTTTAACAACATCACACAACAAAGCAACTAATTGGTAATGAGCTTATTTTTTTTGACGGGGCCATACAAGACTTGATGTTCCTCATTATTCTAAGTGTGTGAACCTAAAATTTCCATGAACAGGTAATGAGCTTTTTTTTAACGAAGGTAATGAGCTCATATTTTCCATGTCTTCACTGATGTGTTCAACAAAGGGCTGAGGCCAACATTCATTAAAATCGACAGGAATGATGGATATATATGCATCACGGGGTAATCAATAACATCAAACTAATTGGTAAGTCTTGATTTCTATGACCAGATTTTATTACAGTTATTTTTTTATTTTTTTATATTGCAGGATTGATAGTGAAACAAATAGGCTAAGAGACATATGCAGCACAATCAACATTCAAGAGTAAGGTGTAAAGGAGAAGCTCAAATACAAAATAGGTAGATGAGATTCCTTTTGGAAGATCATATTGTTTAGAAGTACAATATCAGTATGTAAAAGACACTTTTTTATATTTAACCTTTCCTATGTTATCAAACTATATTAGTTAATAAACCAGGTGCAAGTTATAGTGTGTCAACATCAACAGTATGCTTTAATGAAATAATTAGAAGATTAAAAGATTAAGGTCATACCTGAGGTTTAAGGTGAGCGAAAATTGAACCCTGCGCTCCCTATTCATGAACTGTAAAAGGTTTAAATGAAGTATTGTTTTTCACAAACACTACCTGAAAGCAGTTCAATTATGTAATGAGCATGGTCATCTGTAATGATATGATGTATTCTAAATGGAGTCCTTTTATTTAAGTCACAATGAATGGGCATAAACAAAGTATCCTATGGGTTACTATAGGTAAATATAAACATCTTGACAATGAAAATGATCAGTCAAATGAAGTGTGCAGATGTGTCCATGCCTATAACATCATAAACTTTTATAGTAATTATTAATAGGTCTTATGTAGGGTAGCAGACTCTTCTGGCTGGCGGGCTGGCAGAAATAAGAACAACATGTTTCCTATAATTTAAGTAAAAAAAATAAACTTTAGGACATATTATGTTAACAACCAATTCATATTTTTTATAATTAAATGTGTTATTATCATTAAGCACAATGAACTACAAAGTTTCACATATTTTTTGGGAATAAAGCTCCAGTTACATAGGTTCAATATATAAACTATTACTCTATTCCAAAATTATTGATATTAACACTTCTTTTCATTTCAAATACAAACTTTTCAAAAACAAAAGGTGCAGCACTACCCATTTTAATATAAATTCTACTGTCTTGGCCTTTTAAAAATATATATTTAATTAAAAAACTTAGTTTCAAGTTAGTTTTGAATTAATCTATTTCAAATGTGTAACAGACACATGATTCAAATATCACAGCCCATCTTAATTAATTAAAAAATCTTTCAAGTCATATTGAACATACAAATTCATTTTTTATAGGGTTTAAAAGAGGGTATTATATCACAGAACAAATACATGCTCGGTTAACCTAAAATTTAACAATTGTTTGCATTTAAAACCCTATATATGTATACATCATTTTCACACGTTTAGATTATCCATAGATGTGAGAAGATTTGTACACCCATAAGCAAAAATATATAGGTTAGGTAAAATAAATAAATCTGCTAAAGAGTTTTTTTGTTGAAACAATACAGATTTAGTCTACAACATAAATTTGTTAAAATGCATTTTTATAGACACACCGTATGGAACTATACATGTAAATGGCCACAATAACATATGCATGCACTCGAAAACTGATACAGAAATTGGAATACATAACCTTTCAACAAAACCCACTTAAACGACAGAGATGAAGGGTATATACCAAAATCATAAACGGATGGCAAACGTGGTCGAAAATTCTTGAATTCAGCTCATCCACCAAACGGCGCCATCGACTGTAGGATTGAAATGGATGAGGCACACTAATCGATGACTGTTTTGGAGGACGAAGTTCTGGAAGGAGATTACGGACTGTTGGTCAGAAGGAGATGACGGAATTACACGAGGGCAAAGGAGAAGAAGGGTTTAGATACGGTGTGATAGGTTTGGGTCGCTGGGCTGAGGAGATTTAACATATGTTATTGGGTCGGGCTGATTAAAGTTTATTAAAAATGATGACATTTGAACTTCAGGTCTAAATTGGGCCGTGTAGGATAGAATCATATCATCTACAAATACTCATTTGGCATGTGAAGAATGAGAATAATTGTGTGTTATTATTAGGGATAATTTGAGTTTGCACCTCATTTTATTGTCCAAATTGGACTTTGCACCCCGTTTTTAAAAATATTTGTTTTTGCACCCCAACCCCATATGAAAAGACAAAAATGCCCCTCCATTAACAATTGTGTTGGTCTTCAACATATTCCTGATTGAGGGCATTTTTGTCTTTTCATATGGGATTGGGGTGCAAAAACAAAAATTTTTAAAAACGGGGTGCAAAGTCCAATTTGGACAATAATATGGGGTGCAAAGTCAAATTAACTCTTATTATTATTAGGCTAAAGGGTCAAATAGACCCTCGAACTAATTTAAAAAGTGCAATTCACCCCTTATTTAGGAGGCTCTATCCGGCTGTCACCAATTGGGGCGATTCCCGGTGGAATTTTTTGATGAAAATTTTTGAACATGTTCTTCATTAAGTCTAGCTTACTCATACAAAATTTCAGCTAAAAATTCAACCGAGA